TTAGAAAAAGTGTGTTCTATGTTCAGTGGGTCAGATCTGTGTTTCTAAAAATAAAAATAAGTCATTTTAGCTGTTGTATGGAAAATGGCTTGGGAATTTTTCAAGCTAGGGACTAGACAGGAGAGCACACAGGAGCTTAGTCAGCAGGCAGTAGTTAGAGTAGTCCAGGAAAAAGATGATTGTGCAATGACTCTAGGACTCTTGGGGAAAAGTGTCAGATCTGAGATATTTAGAATATAGAGTTGACAGAATTCAGTGATTAAATGACTACAAGAGATAAGACAGAAAATTGTCAAGAATGACTCCCAGGTAATAGGCCTTGCCCAAGGTCACATCAATTATTACAAATCAAGCACTCAAATTGGTAACTCGATTCCTAATCCATTATGCTTTCTAGTATACCACTTGGCAGAAGCTATGTCATGTATATGAGAGAGAAAAATCTTAGCTACTTTTGCCATTGTAGCTGCTGTTATTTTTCATACTGTCCAAACATCAAGATATGTAGTCCTACTATGTAGATACGATAGATTGTATTTAACAGAGAACATAGTGTCTCCCCACAGTTTCTATTGGGCTGTATTTTGGGCATTCCCACCATAAATATCTTTAAAACAGTTGATTCTGTTTATTGTCTGGACAAAAGGACACCTTCATATATTTTTTTTCCCCCTCCTTCAAATATACATATTCCCTCCTCATTTTAGAGGAAAAGGCCTGTGTCTTTCACTGGACTCATGACTTTATATTAGATATGCTTTTATATACATAAACCTTGACAATAAGCACTGATTTATATACCCAAGGAGTAAAGGAATTTTTTTTTAATGAGTTAGAGTCTTAACTCTGTCACCCAGGATGGAGTGCAGTGTCACAATCATAGTTCACCATAGCCTTGACCTCCTGAGTTCAGATGATCCTTCTGCCTCAGCCTCCTGAAAATCTGAGACTACAAGCACATGCCACCACACCCAACTAATTTTTTTTATTTTTGTGGAGATAAGGTCTTTCTATGTTGTCCAGGCTAATCTCAAACTCCTGGGCTCAAGCAATCCCCCTACCTCAGCCCCCGAAAGTGCTGGAATTACCGGTAGTGAGCTACCATGACAGCCAGTAAAGGAAATTCAGTCTATTCTGCCTATTTGATTTCTAGATAAAGCTCCGATTTGGGGGTAAGGATTTTAGAGTGTAAAGATTTGTCTTTTACCCCGTTGGTGGAAAGTAGAAAGAGTACTAGTAGGAAGCGTGATGGCATTATGACTGTATAGACAAAACCAAGGCATTTTCAAGCCAGTTGAATTTTATTCTCCTAATTATTTTTTAAACTACCTGGATTATTCCATAGACTGGTACTAATTATGATCTAATAGAGTAAATTGTAGCAGTGGAATGATTTCTTAGCTGCAAGTTAGTTTTATGACTCTCAGAGGACAGTGTTTGTAGAATAATGTGGTAGTGTGAATAGATTTGAATAAACTCCTAAATTTTAAATTAAATTAAAAAGCTGTATTTAACATTATGGTTGAGATTTTACACATACAAAATGTCAGGAAATTCTAAATTATAGTTCCCACAACAGCAGTAATTCAGCCAAATTGCACATATGTATTAAGGCATTAAAGTTAACACTCTGTGCAATCATGTAATAAACTACATATGCATAAGAAAGCAAGTTATGATAGCTTTGGGAACCATCATTTTGCATTTCCTGGCTTGTGCATTCAAAATCTGAGTTCAAGTATGTGTGAATGTAATTGTGAATTTCCATATGTAAAATGCAACTTCATACATTGCTAATGGTTTGAAAGAAAATATAGAATTATGAAACTAGATTTTAAATGTTTAGTTATTGTTATGGTTGATATTTTTAGAAATATAAAGCATTCTCAAAGAAACTTTCAGGCCAAAAAGTATTTGCAGTTTTGAAGTTAATGTATCTAAATTTTGAAGAGAAATAGGTGAAAATACTAATTATGTGAGCTTTTAAAATTAGTTTCTTATTGAAATATTACATACTAATTGAAAAAATAAAATTGAAAAATGTATAAAGAAAAAGATAATCTCCCTCACTCCCCTTCATTTTTACCACTCCCAAGACAACCAGTGATAGCTGCATAATGTATAACCTTCTGCATTTTGCTCCATGTTCTTATAAACTTATAACCACCTATATAGGAATTTTTTTGTTTGTTTTTACAAAAGCTAGAATCATGCTATATATATCATTGTACACCTGGCTTTGAATAGCCCTCCAGGTCAGTAAATAAATCTAATTAACTCTTTATCAGTTGCCTGATATTCCATATTATAAGTGTACCGTATGATATCCATTCTTTTTTCCTTTTTGATATTCAGAAGTTTCCTTTTTTTTACCACTTCAACAATGCAACAGTAAAAATTCTTGATATATGCTTTTATATGTGTGCTTTTATTTATATGTCATAGGTTTCTCAAAATTGGATTGCTAATACAATGTCTAGGTATAATTTTAATTTAAAAACAATGCCAAAAGGTTATAGAAAGTCACATACCCACCAGAAATGTATGAGAATGCTAAGTCTTGCTAATTTAATTGATTAAAAGATATATTTCATGATTACTTTACATTTCAATTATTTATAAAATACTTTTATACTTTTTAATAAACACTATGTGCCAATATAAACTCACTATGTCCTTAAATAATCCTGTGAGGTGTGTATTTTTATTTTCCCCATTTCATGGATAAGGAAACTAAGTCACAAAGAATTTAAGTTACTCAGCAACAATTACACAGCTAGTAAATAGTGAAATCAGCATTTGAACCTAGGCATTCTTTGTCCAGAGTTCATGCTCTTAAATACTCTTCCTTGCTGCCTGTGCTAGTGAAATTGAGAATTTTTTTTTTTTTTTTTTTTTTTTTGGTCATTACTAAGCACCTTTTGTATAGTATAAGCATTTGTGTGTTGAAAATGTTTTCTTTTCCTCCGTTACTGGTTTTTCACTTTTAGGGGAAGTATCTTAAAAACTTTTGTTAAATTTTCTTTTAATTTTTATATGATCAAATGTTTTTGTTTGTCCTCATTTTTAAACACTTCAAACAATAAAGTTTCCTTAAAGTAAATCATAATTGTTATACAAATCAAATTGTGTGCAGCAGCTATTTGTAATTCTTTTTTTAACTTATAGTCATACTCCATTGCCCAGGCTGGAGTGCAGTGACACTCTCATGGCCACCCCAGTGTCGACCTGCTGGACTCCGACGATCCTTCCATCTCAGCCTTCCAAGAAGCCGGAACTACAGGCATGCGCTACCATGCCCAGCTAATTTTTTTATTTATTGTAGAGATGGGGTCTCACCAAGTTGCCCAGGCTGGTCTTAAACCCTCAGGCTCAGGCAATCCACTCACCTTGGCCTCCCAAAGTGCTGGGTTTACAGACTAAGCCAACTGAGTCCACCATATAATACCATTTTACTCCTAAAGTTACTATGCAGTATGTACACAGTTGTTTTAAGAATTGCACGTGCTGGGCTCGGTAGCTTAGACTGTAATCCCATGCTTTGGGAGGCTGAGGTGAGTGGATTGCCTGAGCCCACAGGTTCGAG